CACTTTAGCCAGGAGTCTTGCCACAAACACTTGCCAAAAATAGCCTGGCCTTATCATCTCCAGAATGAGCTTCCATGACAATAATGTACAGTCAGAAGTGACACATGTACAGCTTTTCTTTTCATAAGAAAAATCAATCTGGATGGTGCTACCATAAGGACTAACATCAAATGAGAGAGACAGAGAGAAAAAGAGAGAGAGAGAGAGAACACTTGATTAATGTGATTATTTACAATAAGCCCAGTAGAGTTACCTAAAATAATCAATAATAAGAATTATCACAAAATGGTTTACCACGATGGGGGGAAATATAATTATGCTGCTTACAATGCTTAGCGTGCCGGATCACACCACCAAAACATAAAATAAAATTCAGTTTACAGTGAATCTAGCCACCTAGACATAACCAATCTAGTTGAAAGTAATAAGGTAGGGCTGTTAGCTGTTTTCAGTATCTCAGAAAATCTAATGGAAAGAGAACATTTGTGACATGCAAAAAATAAATCTCTACCCCCCTACGTGCAGACATAACCCTATTCATTGACACAGAACAATACAAAACAAAACACATCACCTTTATGTGGTCACCCTGTTCCCTAGAAAGAACTAACCCCCTGCTGTCAACTTCTCAGAATTAAGCAATGCAACAAAAGTAACATAGTGCAGAATCAAGCTCCAGAGACTGCCAGCACCTGCATAATTACTTCAGTGCCAAGAGGTCTAAGTACAACAAAATAAACCAGAAAAAAAAAGAAAGACCGTCTTTTAGATAGGAGGATAGACCAGATACCTGTTTACTAAATAACAGCACATTTATTAATCACTTATATATTCTAAAAACAAACACTGCCAAGTTGAATTTAAAGAAACAGATCTATACTTTGCTGGACAATTTGAGCTAAAATTTTAAGAGATATTTTTGAACGGAGATGTTTATATTCATCCATATTAGTTATAATTCTCTTCTCTAGAAAAGTATGTCTTAGAAAATATACTTTTTGGCTGAGCGCAGTGGCTCATGCCTGTAATCCTAGCACTCTGGGAGGCTGAGGCAGGTGGATAGCTTGAGCTCATGGGTTTGAGACCACCCTGAGCAAAAAGCGAGACCCCCATCTCTACTAAAAATAGAAAAACTGAAGCAAGAGGATCACTGGAGCCCAAGATTTAGAGGTTGCTGTGAGCTATGATGTCACAGCATCTACCCAGGGCGACAGCTTGAGACTCTGTCTTTAAAAAAATAAAAAAGATGGAAGCCACCCACCCAAGTATCCACTGATGGATGAATAGATAAACAAAATGTGGTGTGTGTTTATGTACACACACTCATGCATGCATGCACCCACACAATGGAATGTTACTTAGACTTTTAAAAAATCAGGTTTTGATATATTATCCTTGAAAGCATGCTAAACGAAATAAGCTAGTCATATAGTGATGAATAGTGCATGATTCTACTGAGATGATGGACCTAGATTAGTCAAATTCATAAAGATGGAAAATAGAATTTATTGGCAGGAGTTGAGGGAGAAGGAAGGGAGTTACTGTTTAATGGGTACAGACTTTCAGTTGAGGAAGTTAAAAAAGTTTTGGAGATGGATAGTGGTCCTGGTTGTACAGCAACACAAATGTGCTTAAGGCCGTAGAACTATACACTTAAAAATGGTTAAAATGGTAAATTTTGTTTTATGTATATTTTACCACAATAAAGAAAAGGTATAGCTGAGTAACATTCTGAAAATTGAACACTCCATCTAATCACAGATGAAGACAGTGAATAATCGGATATTTTAGTTTCTTGAAATAGACACCTACACTTGGAGAGTCTTTAATTTCACTGCTTATTTTTTGTTTTGCTTTCTCCCTCCTAAGTTCGTTTGATTCCATTTATTTATTTTGTGAGTTATATAGGTTTTAAGACGGGAAAACCAGACTCTAAGAACCACCAATTGTTATGTTCAACAAACATAACAAGTCTAGTCAAGTATAGCCAAGAACACAATTTCATATCATCAGTAATATACTTTTATAATAAGAATTATCCTTTTATACAACATTAATCCAAGTTAATTTTCAGGTCAGTACAACGCTTATCATTTCTACATGTTAGGTTATATGATTATTATTGGTTCTTTTTTTGAGACAGAGCCTTAAGCTGTCCCCCTGGGTAGAGTGCTGTGGCATCACAGCTCACAGCAACCTCCAACTCCTGGGCTTAAGTGAGTCTCCTGCCTCTGCCTCCCAAGTAGCTGGGACCACAGGTACCTGCCACAACGCCCAGCTATTTTTTGGTTGCAACCGTCATTGTTGTTGGCGGGCCCAGGCTGGATTTGACCCTGCCACCTTAGGCGTATGTGGCTGGATCCTTAGCCACTTGAGCCACAGGCGCCGAGTCTATGATTATTATTATTAATAGCTACCATTTATTAAGAATTTACTACCTGTCTGATATAGCTGAGGAACTCTATATCCATAGTACTCACAACGACTTTTAGGTATTGATATCCGCATTTTAAAGATGAGGAAACCGAGATTTAGAGCATATAAATAATTTACTCACTTGTACATCTAGTAAGTGGTAGAACCAGAATTCAAACCCAGACCACATGACTGTCCATGCTCTTAACTGCTACATTTAAGATAAGATAAAATAAAATTTTCTGATAATTTGTTTTGCAGCTTTGTCATGAAAATAATGATCCTAAATGCAAAAGATACTATAAATATTACAAATGACAGATCAGTAATTCTTCAAAAATTCTAGTTAGGACTTAACATTAGAATTTTGGAACATTATTTAAAATCTCAGAAAACTCGTAGAATTTTCTGTTTTTGTTAAAAAAAAGTTGCTACCATAGTTGTTACTACTTAAGATTTCTAAAGCATATGATCTTTAATAATGGGATTTCTGTTATAGTTTCACTGAAAAGCACAAAGGGTTTCTATATTACCAACTCTTACTACTCAAATAGAAAATAATATTCTGTTTTGTAAATAGACATTGGTTTTTGAAAATGTCTTCCTTAGAACCCTAATGACACAAGACACGGGGGTGGGAGGATATAAGGGTTCTGTAGGCAAATATGTGGAAGCCTGGAAAATGCTACATTCTTCTTTCTTAGAGATTCATAACACTATTAACAAGAAAAGTTCTGAGAAGTCCTGTGGTGAGCAGAGCTGTTTACATTTTTAAATAGTGTTTCCCAAACTTATTTGGCCACAAAATTCTTTCTTTCAGGTAATGCCAAGGAACCAGCAGGCCTCATAACAACTTATTTTGGAAAATGTACAATAAATTGCCATTGACTATTTATTAAGCATGTAATTTCTTTATTAATACTATTGTACATTTAAGGGGTACAAGTGCAGTTCTGTTACATGGATATATTATGTATTGGTACAGTCTGGTATTTTTTGTGTAACCGTCACCCAATTAGTATACGTAGTACCTATTATATCATTTCTCATCCCCAAACCCCTGCCACCCTCCTGCCCTTTTGAGTCTCAAATGTCTATTATTCTACTCTCTATATCCATGTGTACAAACTACCTCCCACTTACAAGTGAGAACATGCAGTATTTGACTTTCTTAAACATATAACTTCAAATGCATCTGTCTCAAAAAGGTAGTCAGTGGTAGAATTTGCTGAAGTCAAAAAATGCACCCATTGTATTTCCTGTCAGGAAAAAAAAATCTCCCATGCCTAGACTGGCATTTATACTATATTTAACACATTGCAGTTATTTCCAGAATATGTGTTTTGACCCCTTTACAGCCTGTATGTTATTTAATCAAGTCCAAACACCCAGTTTCTACTACCTGTGAAAAGCTAAAAATAAATGTGATCCTCCGAGCCATTGCTTTTCTTTCTGGCCTTCGCTGTAAGCTGAGAAAACCCTGCAGCTGTGAGCTGGTACACACCTTTAAATATGAGAATACTAAATTCAGTTACTGTATTTTATGAACTGGTGCTATGAGCCCGCATTTATGCAATTCTGCAGTAAAATAATGAATGCTCTACAACGTTAATCCTGAAGCAAAGTAGTGATTGATTATTACTTCGTCCCCTTAACATCCTCTAACAAACACCTCTATTAAATGCATAGAACAAAACACTGTGATTACTACTTTACCTACGGAAATTGAGCAACTTGCCCGAATACCAAAAGTCAGCAGGGACCAATTTTTTGTTGGACAGATACTGTGAATATTACAACTATAGAAACTGTATCAGATAATCACCCTAAAATATGAACAAAAACAGGAAATTCCTTTACTAATAGCTTATTATTTAAGGAATTTTCTTCTTTTGAAATAATTTTGAAACACAATTTGCTAGAAATCTAAACTTCAACCAAAAAAATGAGATGGCATGCAAGATAGCTTTTTGTGAGTTCAGAAATTAAGAACAAAGTATTAACAACTGTAATGGGGCATTCATTACTTTATCCTTGTGTTAGATGAAACCAAATAAGCAAGTTACACAATTAATTCTGGGTGAAGTGTGAATGTGAACGATTATGCTGCTAGGCTATTGCATCAATTTCTTCCTAGGTTTTCCCTTCAATTTCAAAAGTACATAAGAGTGTAATAAAATGTGTAGGATGACAGAGATATCAACTATTTTTTAAAAGCTTAATAGGGAGGAAACAATGACTATTACTATGGAAATAATATATTTTGGTAACCCATGGACTTTTGGCCACTGATTTTCAAGTTATACCAAATATGCTGGCCACTGGGAAGAAAAAAAATCACTTCACAACGTCTATGGCAGAATACATGTAATCACAGTATTTTGTATTACAATAATATATATCAATAACATGGTACCAGAGATAAAGTAAATGGTTAAAGAGAAGGAAAAACCTGACATGAAAGGAATCAAGAATGTTGACAATTCAGTAAAAGAAAAGGAGGTAAAGTATCAGGTTCAAGTTCCGTCAGTTGTTTTTTTTTTTTTTTAAATGTAAAAGCAGAGGTAACAAAAATTGGTCTTCACCTGGTAAGTGTGTACTCCCTGAGTCCTGAATGCAAATTCATGGCAGAAAAAGTACCTATGCATCCACGCAATCTTTTGTCTCGACCAATCTTCCATGTTACAAACAGTGGGCTGTAATGGAAGATAAAAATAGTGTAAATCAGTCAATTCAATTCAAGCAAATATTTATTGAGTACTGACTATATTGTAGGTTAGGTGCCTGAAGTACAAAGACCAAAAGACAGGCCCTCAAGAGTCTCCGAGGTTAGCCCAGTAGGACTGTGCTTAGCAAAAATTGTATTACATTGTTATTTACTGTGTCCTATATGTTAGGCACCGCATACATGTTCTATAAATAGTTTACAAACAAACTATTTAAATTAATCCTTATCAACAACTCTAGGAGGCTGATCCTAACATTCCTATTTACAAGATGAGGTAGTCCCACAGTCAATACATAATGAAGTAGGTACTTGAACCTGGGCAATCTTGACTATAGAGTTTAAACCTCATTACTAATGTGTAAACCTAATTTAGAAAATTAGGGGAAAATCAACAATGTCAATAATACTTCCTGAAAACAGAGGGGCTATGTACTGTGAAAGGTGCTACAAGAGACGGAAGGATGCCTAAAACACAGTCATTGTTCTCTAGGAGCCAGTACAAAGAGGCAGGCATGTTCACAGCTAACTGATACAAGGCAAAAGGAAATAAGTACTATAGCCCATGTCCACAATGCCATTAATTGAGCTACTGTGACAGAAGAAAATTGCATCAGGCTTGATAATCTTTAGCTTGGCCTAGAAAAACAAGTAGGGTTCAGAGAGGTGAAGGGCAACAGCAAATACTAACAAAATAATATTCTGAAACCAGAAAATTATTTTAATTCTTATATAAAAGCATTACCTATAAATACATCTCTCAAGCATCAATGAGCAAAGTATCAATTATAATTAAGTGTAATCAAGACTAATGTGGTTTTAAATGAAGTTTAATGCAGTAGAAATTTGGATTCTGCAACAAACCACTGACAGCCTCAATTAATGGTTAAGTCTGAAAAACAATTATGTTCTAATTAGAAGCAACCTTGTATGTCAGTTTTGTGAAATAAAATAATTTACTAATTTTAGGACATTTTGTAAAAAGATAAATACCCTACCGCTGGGAATGGTCTGTGTTAATTTGAATATTCACAGTAATTCTGAGATATTTCTGCTTTCTGAAAATTTAAATTATAGGGGGACATTCCATATGCCACTCTTCTGCTCATACTCAGATGAGTTGAAGAACAGCCTTTCTTTAAAATACTTTCTAGTGAGTCATCAGCAGATGGATGAAAAGATATCCCATTCAAGCACTTTAATCACCCACCTCAAACATTTAAATGATGCCAAGTTCTGACAGCCATAACAACACATAGGCTCCCAAATAAATAATGTATACAAACCAGGGGGCAAAACTAACAGTAGCTTCTTCTAAGAGCCAAATGCCCAGTGACATTTCAAAAGATGATTAAAGTATGAGGTTCGGTTACTGTCAACATTAGCATTCAAGTAAGGGATGACCTACAGTAAAGGTACTAAAATAAAAAGGAAATGGTAAAGGCCGGGTCTTCTGTTTGCTATATGCTATGTCCTAAACATAACTTGAGACAAGATTCTAATGCTCCATTTGGAAATTTTCCTCTAATTCAGTGGTTCTCAAGCTTCTTAATGCCTCCTAATGCCGCGACCCTTTAATACAGCTCCTCATGTTGTGGTGACCCCCAACCGTAAAATTATTTTTGTTGCTACTTCATAACTGTAATTTTGCTACTGTTATGAAGCATAATGTAAATATCTGAGAGGCAGGATGTATTTTCATTGTGACAAAGGGGTCATGACCCACAGCTTGAGAACTGCTGCTCTAATTGCTCTTGAGCAACAGTTGGTCAGGAAGACAAGAATTAGTTGCAATTACTTTCTCATAATCCTTTCCTTACTCATACAAATACTAGTACAGTACCTTAAAAATACCCTATCTTTAAAGATGAATTTCACCTCCTCAGTTTTCACTTTGTAACTCGAAAGAGTCAATGTTAGCAATCATTTTTGGAGACAGTAAGATATCAATTCTCTCCCATAACAAGGGCGATACAAAGTATCTCTAAGTGAGACAGGTCCTTTGGCAGCTGTAGAATGAAATGAATCACACTACAATACATATACTAACATATCTTTAAAATACCATGATGGCTTCTCAATAACACCGAACTATGTTGTATGTTCTCTTCCTCAGTGATTTGAGTCAGAAACCTCATAGTGTGAAGGCATTTATTCCCCATCAAAACACTAGAAAGTCACTTACAAGTACTTTACTTTCAATTCTCTTATTGATCCCACTAAAATATATCATACATACATCATTCTTCCTATAATATAACCCTGTCTGCTCAAGTAAACATTCAAAATTTAAAGGATATACAGCAAAAGAACAAAAACTAAACACTGTACTGTGAAATATGTTGCGGGGCATTCAAACCCATGGCGGGAGAAATTATATCGTTTCTTATAATGCTGTGCTATCACGGATGAGGGAATGCCTGAGAGCTTAGGGTGCTCGAAAACAAGCTGCATTTTGCAAGGCAGCCTGGGGAGCAAAGGTGCTCTACAATAAGCAAGGGAATGAGATGTAAAAGTACACAGTAAATTCAGGGAACAGGAAGCAGGCTAACAATCTTGATAACTTGCTATGGTCTCTGCCAGATTTAACATTCTTTGAATTTTAGGCACTATTGAATATGTGTTCTTAAGAGTCCTCCTAGGAGGTAGAACAGATCTAAGAATCATCTATATTCTCCCTGTGCCTTACCTGCCCCAGGCAACATCCCCTTGGGGGGGGGGTGGGATTTCGGGGAAGTATCTGTGTCTAGGATGGGAGGGAGTGCTACTCGGCAACCCCATTGTGTTTAGGACAGATGCCTGAAGATGGAAGAAATCAGACTTTTAGGGGACAGAATAAAACTAGTCCTTAAAAATCTGGGTGTCTAATTTCTCATATACAAATGCTCACCCGATATCTTTTATAAAGAACACCTAGATGGAATTAAAAACAACCAAAATACCTAAAGCAACATGTAATGGAGAAAAGGATCTTCCTTGGAAGTTAAGCATTTTAAAGTAGAGTGAAACATAATAAACATTACTGAGCACAAGAGATTGCATCTTGCGTGTGATAACCACTTTGTACAGGGAAATGACTACAGGAACATTCAATATATATTATCTAAAAATAGCAACAATTTTTTTTTCTTCATGCAACACACAGAGAGAAGAAATAGGCAATTTCACTCTTAAATGTGCTATTAAAACATGGATGGGCTCCCAAAAGGAAGTAAGACATCAGCATAATCAGAGACAGATCAAAGTCACAAAAAGAGTTGTGAGCCTGTTGGAAGGAGTTGCTTAATGACAAGGAGATACGGAGAAGAGTTCATAGCAAGACTAAGATTGAATGTTTGGGGGGAAATGCTTTTGCCATATGGTGTGAGGCCACCTACATACATTGAAAAAAATACTACACACTAGACACGGGCTCAAAATGAGATGAAATATTAATGGAAATGTTTGTCTGAGGGTAACCAGACATAGCTTTTTGAGGAATTTTCCTACTTCTGAACATTTTGTACCACTGTGTTCTGAGAAAACTTTAGAGAAAAATAAACTCTCCATTTTTCCAAGTCTGTGGACAGGAACAGGAAGTAACCACCTAATCTAGGTGAATCCTCCCTGCCAACTGGCAGCCAATACTGTCAGGTCAATAGCCGCTCTCAGGGAAATGCAGTTGCGTGGCATCAGCAAAAGCACAAAAAGCAATGTAACTATGAACAGGACACTCCCCATCTATTGATGTGGGCCAGAACAGATTAGAAGTAGGTTTGTGAGAGTCAGTACAAGTAGATGGTACAATGAAAAAGGTATAGCTACGGAACAGTAGTTTGCCTTCAATCTTATCTCTCCTATCATATCAGGGCAAAAATAAAGGTTAAAAAAATAGCCTTAGACCCCTGCGACCCTCCACCCTGGCAATTTGCTCTTCTTTACGATGAGATTTATATGTGGCAGCATTAAGAAAATAATATCGACAGCTACCAACATAATAATAATTTACTATAACAGGGATACTCAAGGTTATTTATACTGGAGGGAGATCGAAGAAAAGAGAGAAGCCTTGTAGGTTGCTTCTTTTTTTCCATCATCAAACAATGGTTGCTTCTCAACTATACTCAGGTTTCTCAGCAATTTAGCTCAAAAATCCAACTGTGTTACTCATAACATCCAACTAAAGTCAGTAGCACAATCTTCCAGGATCTAGAAGCTTAGAGAAAAACAGAGATGGTAGTACCTGCTTTCCACCACCAGGTTATAAACCTTTCGCTTCCTATTTCAACAGAAAGAAGCTATATATTTCATATCTAAATCATACAAACTGCAGATTCAATTCACAATACCTAATACCTAATAAGGTTAAATCGTATAAAAGCTTGGGCTGCTATTATAAGATTTAACCATAATACCACAGATGGGGTGGCTTGACAACAGAAATTTATTTTTTCATAGCTATGGAGGCTAGAAAGTCCAAGATTAAGGTGCTGGTAGGGTTCAGTTCCTGATAAAGGATCTCTTCCTGGTTAGTATAGCTTAGTGTCCAAAGTATGGACACTTTGTCCTCACATAACTAACTCTCCTCTGAGCATGTGCAGGGAAACAGAGGGAGAGAGAGAGGACACGTGCCAAACTCCCCAGAGTCCCTTATAAGAACACTAAACCTGGCTCGGCGCCTATAGCTCAACTGGCTAAGGCGCCAGCCACGTATACCTAAGGTGGTGGGTTTGAATCCCCAGCCCGGACCCGCCAAACAACAATGATGGCTGCAACCAAAAAATAGCCGGGCTTTGTGGCGGGCGCCTGTGGTCCCGGCTACTTGGGAGGTGGAGGCAGGAGACTCGCTTGAGCCCAGGAGTTGGAGGTTGCTGTGAGCTGTAATGCCAGGGCACTCTGCCCAGGGGGACAGCTTGAGGCTCTGTCTCAAAAAAAAAAAAAAAAGAACACTAAACCTATTGGATTAGGGCCCCATCTTTATGGCTTTGTTTA